AAACCCCAAAACCCCAAAACCCCAAAACCCCAAAACCCCAGAAAAATATATAAATATTGATAAAAATGGTTCAAATCTTACTAAGATCTTGACTACTCATATGGCTGGTAGTAGCTACATGAGCGATGCGTACTACTGACGGTGAGGAAATAGTCCCAATGGTAGAGATTTCTTGCTTAACATTATAGAGAGATTTTGAATTAGGTATCTACAAAGACATGATTTCTCAGCAACAAAAGAAGCTAAAGATTTTAGATTCAATCAAGCAAATCTCTAATGATACAGAGAGTGACTTTAACATAACTGGAGATTTCCTTGACCAGGCTGTTAATACTATTATTTATAAAAAGGAAGAAAAAGCAAGAAAGATCAGAGAAAGGATTGAAATTGATAAAATCAATGAAATTAAAAATTCAATTTTTGAAAAACATGTGTTAGATTTTGAAGATGAAATTATCGATTTTAATTTCATTCCTATTTCAGTCCCTAACCAGAGTAATAAAGATCCTGTTGTTCTTATATTTGCACGCAATGGGATCGACAGCACCACTCTTGAGATACAAGATCTCCGAGGAGAGGTTATTCTTGAGTATCAAATACAGAATTGTACAACTAAATATTTATTGCCAAGTTTGCATCCACAAGATATTTTTGCGGCAGTTATTTGACATAATTACAATTTCCATATGATCAAGTTTTCCACTGAAGAGTTCATAGACTCTCAAAAACCATCAGAGAACTCACCTTTCTTTAAAATTGTTGAAAATTCATTCCTAAATCTTCCAGAAGAAGTTTCTAAAATTTTAGTTGAGAAAAATGAGACTTTAGGTGACTCTTTTGATATTATCAGAGTAGCTCCTTATTTCTCTAAACGTATCATCTACTTTCTAATGGTTGATAATTCAGGCAGGATCATTAATCTTAAAGGTTCAGAAGAAATTATGAGTGTCTTCAGGCTCGAGACATCTCAGATTACAGCAATCGAAAGACATAATCTAAGTATCCTCTTCTCCACATCTAACAATATTGGATTTATGAAAGTACTTGAGCAGTCTTCAGACCAGGTCTTTTGAGAAATTGGTACAGCCAATATTTCCTCTATTGCAGGGGATCATCTGAAACCAAGCGGGATCTATGCCATTACACAAGAGCATGATGATAATTCCACAAGTGATCATTTGGTTGCATTTGAGATAAAAGCTAGCAAACAGAGATCATCTACAGAGGAATGAAAGATTATAGGAAAAATAAAACTTGGCCATCATGAGTCTTCCTCTTTCTCACTCTCTCCTCTTCAAGGATTTGTGACAGTTATGGATCAGTTTGGAGAGCTTTCTGTCTTTAAAGCTCTGAACCCAAATGATTTAATTGAAGACCAAGTAAAGTATGTATTTCAACCATTTAAAGAGAGACATAATAATACTCTGTCTATCTCAGAAGTTTTGTCTAGAAAGAAGGAATTTGGGATTTATAATAAAGACATTAGAGATATAAACAGCTATCAAGGATCCTTTGTCTTGATTAGAAATCCTCAAAACTTATCCCAAGTTAGTTTATTCGAGTACATAAGGATTGTTGAAGCTCAAACGGAAGGATTCTTCGATTTCATTGATATGAGAATAGTCATGCTCATTGCAGCAGCAATTGTCTACTTCTTATGGAGACAATGTAAAGGATTTTATTCCAAAATGGAACCGAGCATTGAAGACTATGTTGACTTAGGAGAAGGTGGTATGTCCAAAAACGATGCAATGAAGAACTTAAAGTTTGATTAATTCAATAAATTCTTTCCTTCCAGGGGTTTTGGGGTTTTGGGGTTTTGGGGTTTTGGGGTTTTGGGG